GCAGTCCAAGCTTGCCCTCATCTTGAGTCTGCAATGATGCTAAGGATCACCCCCTCTCCTTGCAAGGCCCAGACACCAGCCCTTGGTTGTGTCTGATCTTTCAGCTGCCCTTGGATGGCCTGACTCGACAATATCATAGATCCTTTATTCTCTCCACCCACCTTCTAAAGCAGCCTCCCTCTTTCAGCTCTCCTAGCTCACTCACCCACCCGCAGCCCAGGTGTTTAATGACGCTGTCGCCCTAGTAGCCCTCCTCACTCACACCAAACCTATGTAGAGACAGGGTATGCATGCTACACTCCTCTCTACCTCAGGTGACTGCTCTGGCCCCTCAGGGTACCCACTCTAGCAGGATGAGGGTTATTTAAAAGTCCCCTCATCAATCCTGCTGTGCCACAGCTGGTCTAGGCATCTCAAAGTAACTTCTGAACTGCAGGTCAGGAAACTCCACGTGATTTGGAGTCCTGCGGCCTGCAGAAAGCTCCCCAAGTTCCAGCCCTGGGTTTGCAGATTAAACTGCCCTGCCTGGGAACTTTCTCTGCACCAAGAAGCAACACCATTCTTTTTAGCAAGTGCAACTGACTTCCAGCTATTTATTTTCTCACAGCTGCAGTCTGGGAAATAACCAAGACAATAAGGAACATGCAAAGAGGTATTTCATGGAGAAATACCAATCAGAGTTCCAACGGTTATTTTCGAGTTTTTAGAAACTTTATCAGCCAAAAAAAATTAAATCTCCCTTCATCTAAAAGGGGTGCCTCAGTGAGGTGCCTGGGTGGCTCGACTGGTTAAGCATCTGCCTTCTGTTCATGTCATGATCCCAGGGTCCTGGAATCAAGTACCACATCAGGCTCTCTGCTCACTGGGTAATCTGCTTGTCCCTCTCCCTTGCACCTTACCCCTGTTCAAGCGTGCTCTCTCTCTCTCTCTCTCTCCCTCTCTCTGCTCTCTCTCAAAGAAATAAAATCTTTAAAAAAAAAGAATATCCATCTTGAAAAAAATTAAAAAATAAAAAATAAAACTTTCTCACTAATGGCCACTAATAAACATTAACATAAAGAAAACAATGTTTTTTTAACCAAGAAAGTGAAAAAAAAGGCAGATATCACAAATATCATTAATGGCTTATTAGCTTTGATTATATAAAAATAGTACCAGTACTTGGCTACATTTATTCTTTGCCCACAGAATTCAACAAGCACCATTCTGAACAATTGTTGGAAATATTGGGTAATTAATACTGGGAGAGGGATGCTTGGGTGGCTCAGTGGTTAATTGGCTACCTTTGGCTCAGGTCATGATCCCAGCATCCTGGGATCGAGTCCCACATCGGGCTCCTTGCTAGGCAGGGAGCCTGCTTCTCCCTCTGCCTCTGCCTGCTACTCTGTCTGCCTGTGTTGGCTCTCTCTCTCTCTCTGACAAATAAATAAAATCTTAAAAAAAAAAAAAGTTACTTCCTCCATATCTTAAAAGGATCTTTTTAAAAAAATTAATACTGGGAGAAAAATCCACATTGGATCGTGTACACAAAGCGTATCCACAAATATATTTGTGAGATTATGCTGGGATTATTCATAGTAACTATAGACATATAAAAATTCATAATAGGAATAGGAATAGAATAATAGAAATAGAATAGAACAGAATAGAATAATAGAAATAGAATAGAACAGAATAGAGTGGGAAGAAACTAGTAACTAGGGACAAATAGAATTCATTAGTAACCCTAAAATAATAAATGTATTAGTCTGTTTGAAACTATTTCCCAATAGCTGATGATAATATGAGTTTATGAAAAACAGTAGAAGAGACTTAATTTCTCTTCCTTACTCTCCTGTATCTTTCTGAGGCAAATATGAGTAAACCAAAAAAATTCCAGAGAGCACCCACAACAGAGACGAGAAGAGGGAAAAAACTGAATCCAAATAATGCATAAAAAGTCAATGTTTCAGCTGCTTCAGCTTCCCCTGAATAAATAAAGGTCAATTGTAACTGTTAGGAGTAAAATTATTTTGCAGCGTTTCAGATTCTCATAGTGTCTCGGATGGATACATATTGGCAAGGAGAGACCACAAACTCACATGCACATACACACTCACATATATAAGGAATAACAATAACTAAATTTCTGATTTAATTAACCAATGATTCAGAACATGGGGTGGCCCCAGAGGGTAGAAGCAGGTGCACCCTTCCCCAGTCTGGTTGCCATGGTGACAATTGATACATGACCATGCATCCAGCCACACTAAATTTTCTGACATCAGAGTCACGATTTTTCTTCAGCATACCACTGGTTACCTGGCACTTTTAGCATCATCCTGAACTTTCTGTTTTTCAAACACTCAAATGATTCCAATTCATTGTATTCTATCTGTAGAGTGCATGCCCACACTTGCTTCAGATCTCTGATCAAATATTACCTTCTCAGGACCAGACCAGCCTCAATAAAAAGTATTCCCATCATTCTCTATCTCCCAAATCTTATTTTACTTCTCTTCAAAGTATGTATGTATGTATGTATGTATGTATGTATGTATGTGTGTGTGTGTATCTCACCATATTATTTGTCTCTTTTTCCTCATTTGCCTCCCCTGCCTCATTAGAATATAAGCTTCCTGAGAGCAGGCCCTGCCAGTTTGTTCTGCTATATTCCTAGAACAAAAACACACAATGCCCAGCAGGGAGTAGTGCCTCAATAAGTATGTGTTTACTACAACGGAAGACAAAAATTTGTGAAGAAGAGAATCAGTCTTGGGGTGCCTGGGTGGCTCAGTCAGTTAAGCATCTGTCTTCAGCTCAGGTCATGAACCTGGGGTCCTGGGATCGAGCTCTGCCTTGGGCTCCCTGCTCAGTGGAGAGTCTGCTTCACCTCTGCCCCTCACCCTGCTTGTGTGTTCTCTCTCATGTTCTCTCTCAAATAAATAAATAATCTTTTTAAAAAATCTTAAAAAGAAGAAGAAAAGAATCAGTCCTATTTTAGAGATGTTGAAGTGGAGTAGCTTAGAAACATGTGCTAAAATTAAAAAGACTAGGGAGCTACCCGCCACCCACCCCCCCAGGTGTGAGTAGATGACTTCCTTCAGGTAAAGAAAACATGCTAAGAGAAGAAAATGGTGCTGAGGAGAGAGTCTCATAGAACTCTTGTTTTTGAAAGAAGGTATGGAAGAGAATTAAGTTAAAGGTATGGGGAAGAGGCCACCAGAGAAATAAAGAATGAACTTAAGGCATTTAGTTCCAAGAGGCAAAAGATGGTTAACTGAGCTCAAACTTGAAGGGAAGACCAGCCAGATGACGAGCAGGTGGACTGGTAGGGAGTCACAGATGACCTACAAAATATCAGTTTTGGGAAAGGGGGAGAAACTAGGTCTCAGGACCCAGAGACAGAAGAGAATGGGGGTGGAAAGGTAAAGAGTTAACATTCTCTTTTCATGTCACCTGAGGTTGAAGGGTACTTGAAATATTTTGTTGAACAAACGAGTGCACAGATGAATGAATGGATCCAATGTTCTCCCCTGAACCAGGATGGCACAAAAACTGTGGCTGAGGTCGAGATTAAAATGGTAAACAAAACACTGTTGAACAGCACATGTTGCATAAAAATATTTCCCTAATCAAAGTCAATTTTCCAAGTGGTTTTCCCTCAATAAACATATGCGGCTTTTTCCTGTAACTCATTTTTAATGAGGTCCTATGACTTTCATTTGTACTTTGTTTTTTATTTTTGTTTAAAATGCACTCTTGATTAATGGAACCTTCAGAAATTTACCTTGAGGCCCCATCTCTGTCTCAGTGGGTCCTGACTCTTGTATTCTTTGGGATTGAAGGCCTTTCAGCTGAGCTCCATTGAGTTACCTTCCCAGGCATGCTAGAGGCAACTCTGGTACATAGAGGAGTATATCCTGAAGTGAACTAAAAAAGGCCTCGCTGGGAAGGTAACATAAATAATAAAATAAATGGAAAATGAGAATCCACTCAGCTTTCCACCAGAAGTACCACCAAATAGTTACATGAAGAAACATAGTTCTAGTGGGATTTAAACATAAAATGATTAAATTTCTTGCTTTCCTGAACCTATAGCAAATTTCTCTTCGTCAGTACCTATGGCTCTCACATGACAGCGTGGCTCAAAATCACCTGGACGATCTGTTAAGACACAGACTGCTGTCTTACTCCCCCAGTTTCTGATTTAGTAGGTCTGGGGTAGGGCCAGATACTTTGTACTTCCAACAAGGTCGCGAGTGATGCGGCTGCTGCCAGACTGAACTACACATACAAAGACCACTGGTCTATGGGACCTATGTCATGTATTTTCATAACTTCTTTCTCTACTTTTCTGTTGTCCTTCAGAGAAAATGAGTCAAATTCTCATTTCAGCGCTACTGCCCTGGCTTCTGTACATTTCTCTTGTGAAAAACAAAAACAAAAAATTACAAAACTTTAAAAGTAGAAACAAAGTGATGTTAGGATTAACCAAGCCTCAGTTTCCAGGTTTCTACTCAGTTTTAAATGGAATAAAGTTTTTACCTTAGTCAATAAGACGTTAGTGCCTCTTAAAAATAAGAGCTCAGCTGAAATCATACAAATGTGATACAACTCGCACTAAAAAGTAATTCTCTTTCGATTGCAAAACATGCATAAAATAAATACTTGTCCCCATCAAAGTCTCTTAACACTTATCTAGAAAAGGAGGGCGGTGGCCATCAAATGACAGGAAAATATAACACTCACTTGCCACACAGATCTTTATTTTTCCATTCTTTATTTTGTTTTTAAATCGAAGAAGAAACAGCACACCTAGAGTCTAAGCAAGCTAAAGGTAGAGTATAGCGGTTAAATTGGGATCTTTACAAGTAAATTATTTTTCTTCCTTTGTTAATGTGCTGGGAAAAAGAAGAGACACAGTATGGTGTCATAAGTAGGGTATAATCTGACTCCGTGTGCAGAGCCTGGGGGGGGGGGCAAGTCATGTGAGACTCTAAATGAGCTGCTCACCAACTCTACAGTTGAGCAATTCCAAAGAGGTTAGGGCCACGTTGATTAAAACATTTGTAAGAACAAATTAATATTCGAAGAGGTACCAGCTGTAGATTTCTGCTTATCTTCCAGTTCTAAAAGGTAAAGATTAAAAATAAAATTAAAGCAGTACTCAATAAATATTTTTGAATAAAATAAACATTAACTTTCTCTGAGATTTCATATCATTAACTTCTAAAGGGCACACTATTCTATTTATGCTTGATTTGCTCTTTTCCCACACAAAAATAAATTAACTAGCTAAGAAAGGCATCTTCAAAACTAAACAAAGGGGGGCCTGGGTGCTTCAGTCAGCAGAGTGTCTGACTCTTGGTTTCAGTTCAGGTCATGATCTCAGGGTCCTGAGGTCCAGCTCCATGCCGGGCTCAGTGAAGAGTCTGCTTGAGATTCCCTCTCTTCCTTTCCCTCTGTCCCTCCTCCCATTCTCTCCCTCTCCAAAATAATTAAATCTTTAAAAAAAATTAACAAAATTCAAATGATAAAGGATTATCTATGCTTTTACCCAAATATATTATTACTCAGTCTAACCATAATGAGTTTCAGATAAAAGTAAAAAATGATACAGAATCCACACAAACCTGAGTTCTGCCCTATAGGGATGTTAAATTGATCAATCAGCAGACCTTTATTGAACTCCCCAACGGATATCTTGGTTTGGCTTGTCCACCATCCATTTGCCCGTGGAAATTAATCTTAATATTCTTTGCTCATTATGCATAAAATGTTCATTAAGATTGGCTAGATTTCAGACAATTTGCCCAATGCGTGACTTAAAATTCTGTACTTCAAATCTGTTTTTCATTCTCAGTGCACAAAATAGGCAGTCAAAAACCTTGTTAGCCATCTTAGCATACATGTCTTCACCACTAATGCTGGAAATAATGGCAACTTCAAAAGCTTACCATCTGTATGCTTTATAAACAACCTCTGAAGTCAACATAGCTCTCAGTCAAAGAATCCAAAACAGTCACACAACTAATAGTGTAACTCATTGACAGGGACACTTGCTTTTATCATGAACCCATTGGGCTGTCATCATCACAATGCACAGTGAGAGATTTCCTTACTGTTTTGTTCACTCTTTCACAAAAGAACAGTGAGGGCCCGTTTAAAGGCTCAAATACCTAAGCACAGTTATAAATCCACCCTTGAGAGAGTAATAGCCTTCCAACCTTGGTGGTAAATCAGTGGGGAAGTCAAAGTCATATGTGATATCACCTTTTCATCCCTCCAACCATGACTATGAAGTGCTCAGAGGATACATGGCACTTTCTAATGAGAAAATATCTGGGATTAAGGTGGAAAATGGTACAGACTCTCAACAAATCTGACTTTATTCCTAAAAGGAAGTTTAGCTGATCAATCAGCAAATATTTACTGAAATCTCGATTCAGTATCTTATTTTTGTTTATCCAGCATCTATTCCCCATTCTGCTGGCATAAAAGCCTGTCTTTTCCTTTTGGGAACCACCCCTTCACTGATTTCAGTGTTTATTTTATGGAAGAGAGAGGATAACTGATCCCACCCCCTGGCTCAAGACAGCCATGTAACTCAAGCCTGGCACATAACCCAAGAGAGTCCAATAAAGTCAAAGAACATCAGCCCTAGGGCTTTCCCTGGATCTACTAAGAGAAAGAAGCTCTCCCTCTATTGCCAGAGGGCATAGTGTAGGGTACAATGAGTGCAAAACCAGGACAAAGGAAAACAGAGACAATACACATAGAAGGACGGATTCCTGATGATAAATTTGGGTTACCTGACCCAGCATGACTAAATATTTAGACAGACCCATTCCTAGGCCTTGTTTATTACTCATTATTAGTTAGTTAGTTGGTTAGTTAGTTAACTAGTGCATAAGTTGGGTTTCTTTAACTTGCAACCAAGAATTCTGACAAATTATAAGCAACCTAAAATCTGAACCACATTAAGCAAAGTTCCAAGAATACAAAGATATAAATAACAAATAATCTCTGCCTCAAAGAATCTTTTCAGTATCTAGTTGGAAAGCTAATATGTAAACACAAAATATAACTAGAAACATATGGTTCAACACCATGATAGGTTCTATATTAATTCAGAGAAGGGAGACACCACCATAGGCTGCACATTAAGCAACATTTTGCAATGTAAGAAAATGGTGAGCTGGGATTTGAAGGATGACCAGGGTGTGACTACCTGGAAAGGACATGAAAGGACACTGAAAAAGAGGGAGAAGTGAGAGCATAAGTTCAAGAATGTGCATATGGTATTGGGGAAACAATACAGTATAAATAATAAATAGACCATAAAATACTGAAGCATGGACTATCAACAATAAATGAATACATTAGTCTAGAGGTAAGAAGAATTCATAAAGTTTTCCAATGATGCACACATTATATACAGTATTTTAAATCTATATGAGATCATAGTGATTGACTGAATTGTAATGGCTAAGTGTAGAAATTGTGCTCAAAAGCTAAATGTGTTTTTTCTGCTTTGCATATGGGTCCAACCAGCTAACCCTGCTTACTACTGTAGCACATTTCATCTAGAACTAAGGGCTGTCAAAATAAATCACACTAAAATACCTCACTTAGTGGCTATTTAAGAAACTAGAACAAAAAGAGTACAGCCATGAACCAAGAGGAGTTTACAGAAAGAAAGACAAACATAAACCAAGGAAACAAGTGGAGCCATAGAGTTAATCTGATTCTCTTTGTCCAGTTTCTCCATGAGGTAAGAAGTTTACAACAGAAACGATTAAAGACATTTTCCATTTCCACTGTGGTTTTAGCCATTTCCCCTTGTGTCATTAAGAAACTGTATGGGCAGGGTTTGGATTGGCTCTTGTTGCAAGCAGGAATGCAAAGGTTCTGTATCCCTCTTTCCCCTTCTTAGGGTATCAAAGTTTAGTTAATTAGAATAAAATGTTTTGTTTCATTTTTTAGAAGTTTATTTTATCAAGGACCATTATCAGTTTTGTACTGAATATGAAACTTTGCTTGTAATTATTGTATGACTTAATAATTACTATTTCTGATATCTCTCAGTACTGTGAATTGTTTGAAATTTTACTAAGAAAAATGAACCCAACATAATTCCTTGGGAACATACTTTTCCATCTAGAATCACTGGACACAGTAATGTTTTCATAAAAAAAAAAGTCTCAAATGCCTGACGTGCTGATATCCATTTAAATTTCTATGCCCATTTGTGGCTTCATCACAATGGTTTCTACCAGTATGACACTTGCCCATTTGAGCATGTTACAAAAGAATAATGACACAACCTCTTATAGAGGACCTCTCTTCACAGGCCTCAATTAACATAACTTCAAGATTCTGTGGAAGATAATTACTGCTTTGGTTGTTGTTTACAGAGAGAGATTGAAATATCTGAAATCTTCTTTCTGTCAAGCTGAAGTTAGAAAAGCAAAAGGAATTGTCTATGATTAGACATGCTTTTATTCTGAAGTATCTTTATAGCAAAAAGCTTTAAAATGTGAAAATATACCAGTCTAATTTTTCACCCTTTACTATGTATAGCCAAATGCATTATTTCCTAAAGCAAATGAATATATGATTACATCCTCTCCCTATTTTAGGAAAAAGCAGTTTTATATTTTAAGTTTAAAAACATACATTTACTAAGTTTTGTATTTTTTGAATGGTGGAATTGAGTTTTTAAAAAAATTCAACACCTGCTTTATCAGTGACATTACTGTCATGTTTTAAACTGAGAAATAAAAAATTGTCAAAATATATATTAACATCACAGTATAAAGCGAAGCTTTGAATAAGGTTTCAGTATTACATGAACCAGAAAGCATAGGAAAAGAGTAAGATGGTTTCCTGTTTTCTTCAGAAAAGTATCATAGTAGGCAGAGTAATATCTGAACCCCCCTTGCAAAGAGGTTCATGTCCTAATGCCTGGAATCTGTGAATATGTATGTTAACCTTACATTGCAGAAGGGACTTTACAGGTATGATTAATACAAGGACCTCGAGAGGTACATATTTATTCTGTATTATCTAGGTGGGCCCAATTTCATGACACAGATTGTTAAAAGTGGAAGAGGGAGACAGAAGAGAAGATCCAAGTGATGTGATGTTGAGGACAGTCCTGCCAATGTTGGCTTTGAGCCAAGGAATGTCAGTGACCTCTAAAAGCTGGAAAGAACAAGAAAATGGATCCTCCCCTAGAGTCTCCAGAAAGCAATGCAGCCCTACTGACACCTTGTTTTTAGCTCAGTGAGACTCGTGTTAGACTTCGGACCTTCTACTGAACTGTGACATTATAAATTTTTGTTAGGAAACGAAGTTTATGGCAATTTGTTACAGCAGCAATGGGAAACTAATACTGGTCTCATGATCCAAATTAGCAGGACCATGAAAAGCATGACTATGACAACCCCTCAGACACTCTGAAGCTAGGAGAGGCTTTGGTCTAATCTCTTCATTGCCCAGATAAGGAAATTAGTCCAGATATAAAGAGAAGAAAGGTGGTTTAGCTTAAGCCTCAGAATTCAAGCTAGAGAGAGAACTAGACATTAAGTTCTCTAAACTCTTACTCAGTGTTAGTCACAGTATTCCTCCTAGCTTCTTTCACCAGGGCAGGATTTTGGTTATGGTTTAATAACAATATGCAGAATTCTCTGAAAGAATAAACAGTTGTTGGAAATCGCACACATTTTCAGATAACGCACAGAAGTACACTGCTTTGCTGTTCTGATCTACCTGCAACCGGCTAAATATATTCAAGTGAATTACCCGCACAACACTTGAAACTCAGTATGTCTGTGATAAAACTTGGGGTCTTGCCTCCCAGATCAGCTCCCTCAGGAGTTTCCTGGTTTTTCTCCTTCACACCCTTCTGCAGTTTCCCTTATCCAATCAATCAAGTTCCATCATCCATCCTCCTCCCAGGGAAGCTCTTTCCTTGCATTTTCTAATGATACACCTTACACCCACACTAGGCAACCACTAATTGGTCTTTTTTCTTCATCTTCCCTTCTCTTCAACCTCCAATTAATCCTGAACAGTACTGTCAAATGATTCCTTCTAAAATACATCTTTCTTTATATCATTGACT